CATGGACAGATAATGTGCATGGGGATTTCACCACAAGCTCAGGTAGAAATGATCTGGGCAGCAGATATCATGAACCAAGACAGGAAATAATGCAGACTCCAGCATCTTCACTTCCTTTTCTGAAACAGGATTTTGGCTGTCATGGAGCATCACAAGGCTCAGGCTGGGAAATGGATTATCTAAGGCAAATGAATGAAAACAGAAAAGCACGCCAAGAGCAATCTAGATCGAATGTTTCAGCAACATGGTCAAATTCAAGAACAAGGGATGGCTCCTCTAGAATTCTGAGTGTTCCTCCTATTGAATCTTTCAGATATCAAAGAAATACAGATACTCCTTTCAGGGACCAGAGCCCTTCAGATATTGAATCTTTCAGACATCGAAGAAATATAAACACCCTTTTGAGAGATCAGAGCCCTTCAAATGAGGCTCACAGATATGAGAAAGGCAGGGGGAGGAACTAAAGCACAGAGCCATAGGGTAAGAAAGGATTTCAAAGCACAGCCTAGTATAAATCATGGAAAGAGCATAGTGCCATCCATCGAGCCAACATGGACTCCTCTTGACAAGAGAGCAAGACAAGTATGTAATTACATACTGCAGATTTGTTTTTGCATGCTAGTGTTTAGGATGCCAGTTAATCTAGATAATCTTCTGCAGAAACTTACATTTGCAACACATGGGAGCGAAAAACAAACCAAGCTGGTCTGGAGACATCAAAGCAGCCCCGGTGTTGGATGTGGCTTCCCTAAGAGGTACCAGGAAGAAGCTCCGTAGATTGTCAGGTCCAGTAACGTTCTGGACACCCAGAGCATGTTATTCTTGGAGAAAAGGCCCCACATGCAAGTTTTTTATGTTTTAATTGGTTAAGACAATACATGAAATATTTCTTCATGAGAACTTGGCACCATCATTGACCTGGCAGGAGCTGCCAATGTACATATTTTTTAGCACTCCTGGGAATGATTGAATGTATCCTTGTTACACGCATGTCCTGTCTGTTTCAACCTATGAAATTTATCTGCCACTATCATCTTCTATAGGTTCAGGTTTCACTTCAGTAATCTTGTTGAAATATGTTTGCATTTCTGATGCTTTGCATGGATAGCTATTTGTTTTCTGAAACTGTGAGGGTATGGCATATTCCCAAAGGTGCGTATCCTCAAAAGTCTTTTCTCTATCCCATTTGTTTGACTGCATGGCACTGATGTTATCAGGCTTATATGTCAGTAGTCTACTGCTTAATTCGATATCTTAGGCATGTCAAAGGTCAACAGATGGGTATTTGGGCTCTTTATGAGACGGACGGCACAAAGCCACAAACTTCCGAAATGTTACAGATTAGAATTTTTTTGACTTGAGTATATAACTCAAAACTACGTTGGTATTTTTTTTTCAAAAAACTAGGCCACATTGTTATTTTTTTTTAAAAAAAACTAGGCCATATTGCCCGTGTCTTCCTTCTAATCTAAAGAGAGAGAATAAAAAAATACTCCCCGTGTGTCCAAGACGGAGACGAATACGAGTTCAGAAAACAGTTCCATGCCTGCTCTTAATCGGACTACCCGTGTGTCCAAAGTCTGAGACGAATACGAGTTCAGAAAACAGTTCCATGCCTGCTCTTAGTCGGACTTCGGCGCCCTTTCATAATCGGCGGAACTCTTCCACGTCTCAAGTTCAGTCGTGCCGCGTTCGTCTTCTGGCTGGACATCAAGAAACACCCCGTGTGTCCCGTCTAGTTACGGCCGAGATGCAGCCTGGAGGAGGCAACGGCAATGGCAGCGGCTTCCGCTACGGGCGAGGCCAACCCTACCGCCCGCCGGTGCCGCCTGAACAGCAGATGACACCGCAAGAGAGGGAAGCGGTTCTGATGGCAGCCGGCCGCCTCGCCGCGGAGTACCTGGTGAACAGAGGCGATCTGCCGCCGAACGTGCTGGAGAACCGCCCGGCGGCTCCGATCCCGTCGCTCGGACTCGGAGGCCAGCCGGCGTTCGGGTCGCAGTACCACCAGTAGCCGCCGGTATCCGTATCCCGGACGTTCCACTTCCAAGGACGCCCGCCCGCGCCGCAGCACGGTCAGCCTCGGCCATGGCCCAATCCGTTCCACTGACACCGTGTGCATGTTTAGTTTCCAAAATTTTACAAAATATTTTAAGATTTTTCGTCACATCAAATCTTTAAATGTATGTATATATGAAGTATTAAATATAAATAAAAAATAAAACTAATTACACAGTTTAGACAAAATTCACTATACGAATCTTTTAAGCCTAATTAGACTATAATTATACACTAATTATCGAATAACAATAAATATGGTACGGTACCATTTAAAAAAAAAATCGCCAACTAAACTAAACGAGGCACAAGGCAGCAACGCCCACCAGCTCCGCAGCGCCGGTTTCCGGGCCCCCGCTCGTTCCAAGGAGGCCGCGGCCCGTTCCCGAAGCGGCCACGCCAGCGCCCGTTCCCGCCTGGGCGTGCTCCTCCCCAGACGCGGTACGCCGGCCATGCCGCGGCACCCGTCGTGTCCGTGAGTAAAAATAAGCAAGACGACGACAACGAGCACAGCGCGCTGGCCGGAGAGGCTGGCGACTCTCAGCCGACGGCGCAGCCGGATGTTCCGGCCAGCGGCCCGCAGGCCGCAGCAGACGCACGAGCCAAGCAGCGGTTCCCTTGGCGCCAACGCTAGCGAATCAAGCTAGAATACACACGCACTCGGTTTTTGGCTGAAATGTAACGTACTTTCTATACCTATTAATTTTTATAGACATTACGGCGTTCATAAAACTTAGTTAAATCATTGTCCTAAAACAATAGTTTGTATAGAAAAATATTTTCCGACAAAAAAACCCAAACAAGTCGAATCACATATAGAAATCATGGTCCCATAGTTTTTCTTCAACTTTTTATCGAATCACATGCATTCTCTCTTTGTTATGTACCAATCACATCTTTTCATGTCTTGGTTCTCGTATAGACGTGGTTTCTAACTTAAACCCGGTTTCTATGATTTTTACTCTCTCTTCAATAACTATCTTGCCACATCAGTAAAACGCTTAGGTGGTGGTACAATTAATGTCCATAGAAACTATGATGGTTTCTACATTGAGAATGCCCTAAACAGCTCTACAGCAAAGCTCTAGTACAGTTTTTTTTTTTGTTGTTGTTGTTGTTGCCGGGATGCACGTTTACCCGGACCAGAATTTAGCTGCAAAGCAGCGATTTTGTAATTCTGTGTGAAAGTGAAACTGGTGGAATTAGTACTGTTTTGGCATCTATCTATATATTATACACAATCTTAGTGTCATGTTTCCAACAAGTATTTAGACCTTGTTTAGATTGATTTTAGTGAATCTGGTGGAATAGTGCGGTCTCGACTTCTGTATTTATCTTATCTTAATCATGGCCTAACCATAAAAAAGATCAAAATAATTTATAATCAAAAGTAAAATTAGTTATTTTTTTCTATATCACGCTGCCCTGAAAATTTGATATGAGCACAGAATGAAAAAAACTTGCGATCTAAACAAGGCCTTACAAATAAATATTAGCAGCGATTTTGTGATTCTGGTGGATTAGTGCGGTCTCGACATCTGTATCAATCTTATCTTATTCGCATGCCATAAAACATCAAAAGAAATTGCCAAAAGTAAAAATCAGCTGAGTTTCACGTCACGCTGCCCTGTAAATCAGCACAAAAATGACACTAACATCAAAAGAAATTGCCAAAGAAACCAGCTGAGTTTCACGTCACGCTGCCCAGTAAATCAGCAGAAAAATGATAAACAAAAGGGGCATTCCAAGAATTAAACTCGGGACCTCTCACACCCAAAGCGAGACCAAATGCCCTGATGTTAAGAAACTTAATTAAGTTAATATTAACTTGTAAAGCATGGCCAAGCCTCGAGCAAGACTGTAGGAGCTGTAAAATGCAAACGCCAAGTCTCAACTCTCACGCGGCCCTCTTGCACCGCAATCAGTTACCGTCAGCCAGCGATCCTCACGAAGTTTACATGTAGCCTTGTAAGCGGCGGTCTAGAACGGTGGTGGGCCGATGGACGGAGAGTCGGAAACCCATGCTAGTAGTCAGGGCGCGTTTAGATCCGGAGATTTTGATAAATAAAATACTTTTAGGCCATGTTTTGTTAATTAAGAATCAATTATAGCCAAAAATACTGTTTGAAAGTTTTACTGTAGTTCATTCTCACCTTTGTAAATTAGTTTTTTTTCGCTAATAATTATGTCTCCAATGCAAGTATAAGATTCGAAATTGTTCAATTAAAAATTTTTGATTTTTTTGAACTAACGGGGCCTTACAAAGTCGGTCGTCTCGTCACGAAGCCTGGTAAATAAAATACTTTGACCTTACACGAGGGCACAGCTCCTGATCACGAATTTCAACAACCCACCGGTCGTCGCCTGACCGGTGCAAGTTTTTCCACGCTAGCGATTTGCTGTTGCTTTCACGTGCTGGGTCCCGCGGACGCTGGTGGGCGGCACCTTTGATTCTTCCCCCACACATGCGGGGCCACGAAGGCTACGGATCAGGCTAGAAGTACCCAGTTAACCTGAGCTCGCTGTAACACGAGAATGTGCAGATACGAATTAACGATAAATGAGCTACCCGTACACCGAACAAGTTCAATGAAATGCCCTAGTGACAGCGAAAAACACCAAACAACGACGGAATAAACCAGTTTTTTATCTCCCTCGTTCGCATCAAACCCCCCACCTGGCCTTATCTTTTTGACATTTTATTAGAACAGAATCCACGGAAAACAAACGCCAAACTGTTTTCAGAAAAAAAAAGATCGTTTCAACTGTAATTAAAAACAACAACAAAAAAAAATCAACGAAATCAGATCACTGCCATTTATAGGAGGCGGTGCGGGGACACGCTCCAGCATTCTCTCTCTCCCAGTCTCCATCCACTCATTGCGTCGCCGTTGGGCGTTGGCGGCAGACGAAGAGGAAAAGGAATAAAGCGTCGCGGAGCGATGGCGCTTGGCCTCGGCGTGCGGGCGGCGCCCTTCACGTACGCGGCGCACGCGCTGGCCGTCGCGGCGGCGGCCATGGTTCTGGTCTGGGCCATCCAGTTCCGTGGCGGGCTCGCCATCGAGGCCACCAACAAGAACCTCATCTTCAACGTGAGTACTACTGCCTCAGTGCCTCTCCCCTTCCCGTGCTGTGCTCCCCGATTGGATAAGGCGCCCGGTTCGCTTGGCCGAACTTTTTTAGAGTATTTTTCTCTCACGATAAATCAGCTAACTTTGCTTTCAGCCGTGACAAGCAAACAGGACAAAGATCATAAGGCGCTGGTTGCTTCGACGCCGGCAAATTTTTTTTAGCCTCGTTTTTTTTCCTTTGATTTGTTCCTTTTTCCTTTGAAACAGTAAAAGTAAGATTTGATGTCGCGTCGACAGACGACAGTGAGTCAGTGAGTATTTGTAGGCTGCTTCACGAGCTAGAAAGTGAGGAAATTTAAACCTGGATTATAGAATTATTACTTCACGAGCTAGAAAGTGAGGAAATTTAAACCTGGATTTTAGAATTAATAAAAAATGATATAGTGCAGTGGTCTTGATGATACGTTTAACTTATTTGCTGTTACTTTAGCTTTGGCGATTTAGTGAATTGCCTTGTGAGAGGTTAACTCATTCTTTAATCGGCTCTGTTTGTGAGCGTGTGGCATGGCCTACTTTGCTTCAGCCAGAGATTGTGGATTCTAGCTTTTATAACCCGTAGTAGCTTTTTTTTTTACCCTAAATTGCACAATCCAGCTTGCCCAGATTCTATAATCCAACAATCCGCTCAAACATATATTTTACAGGATTGTGGCACACTATAGTGATTAGTGAGAGAAAAAGAGATAGGCCATAAGCTAGAATCCACAAACAGCCATCAGGTTTTGGACCTTCAGTTTCCCACAATCCAGGACTTCATGTTGCTTTTCAGAATCTCTAGCTAAAACTAGCATAGCATGTAATTTGTGTTTATTTGGCTTAAAGTTTGTAGGCTAAGTTAGTTGCAAAGCATTTCGCTGCACACATGTACCCTTCGAATCAGAAAACCCGTATCTATTGTTTCAAGTTAACCATTTGTTTTGTCTGTACAATTTTAGTGAATCAGAATAATAAGTTGATTTACAGCATTTCAGAGTGCATCACATGTTAAATATTGCAGGTTCACCCTGTTCTTATGCTTATCGGTTATATTATTATCGGCGGTGAAGGTAAATGATGCAAATCTTTTCAGACTTCTCTTCTCTGTCACATGACAAATTTTAGTTTAGTAATATTTTGTTCGTGTTGTCAGCTATAATGGTATACAGGGTACTTCCGACAACGAACCATGACACAACTAAGCTGATCCATCTAATTCTCCACGGGATTGCACTTGTCCTTGGTGCCGTTGGGATATACTTTGCTTTCAAAAATCACAATGAGAGTGGGATTGCCAATCTTTACAGTCTGCACTCTTGGATTGGGATAGGAACAATTGCTTTGTATGGTATTCAGGTAAGGTTATGCATATGATGTTAAAGTTAGATTTCTTCTTTGACTATGATTTTGACACACTAACAACACTGTTGCATTTATTTTGAATGATTTACTTTTTTATTGAACCAACCAGAGATATATTGTTTTTTTAGAAATATAAACTTTTCATATGTTGAAAGCCAGCTTCACCAGAGATATATTGTTTTTTTAGAAATATAAACTTTTCATATGTTGTAGGTAGCTGGTGAGCTTCATACTTGCTCTTCTTATTAGTTAGGTGGAAAAATCTACTTAACCCCACCTTAACAACCAACCGTTCATTACGAAAAAATTGGATTTTCCAATTAATCTAAAACTTTATACTAAAGCTAAATGATGGAGTAGTCCAATAAAATTAGATTTTTCATTTTATTTTTTCTCTGAAAAAATTCACCGAAAGAAAAAAAAAGGAAATTCAAACCCACCGCATTTGTAGTCTGAAGTCAACACTCGAATAGTTATGCAGTGATAGAATGACCTTATATTTAAGCCCTTATTTATTAACACAGTGGATAATTTTCAGGAAATGATGGAGTAACACAATTCTTTTTAGTCTGAAGTCAACACTCGTATAGTTATGCAGTGATAGAATGACCTTATATTTGCCTTATTTATCACAGTGGATAATTGGATTCGTTACATTCTTCTTCCCTGGTGCTGCGCCAAATGTGAAGAAGGGTGTTCTTCCTTGGCACATACTCTTTGGGCTCTTCGTCTACATCTTAGCACTGGCTAATGCAGAACTCGGCTTTCTTGAGAAACTCACTTTCCTCGAGAGCTCAGGCCTCGACAAATATGGCACAGAGGCATTCTTGGTGAACTTCACAGCATTGGTTGTCGTGTTATTTGGTGCTTCTGTTGTGGTGGCTGCTATAGCTCCAGTTCGCCTTGAAGAACCACAGGGTTATGCACCAATTCCAGAAAACTAGTACAAATGAAATGTACAGCATATGCAGTTGCCAGGATTGGCTGTTACCATGTGGAGATAAGATATTCATATCTGTTTATTAAAGGAGAAGAAGATGATGGAATTATCACAATAAGAAGATAGTGCATCTTCATTGTGTGTGTATATACATTCTGTGATACTTCAAAATTTCAGTATATGCAAAACTGAATACCCTGCTTCATAAATGTGTATTTGCTTTCATGAATATCCTGCTTGATAAATGTGCTATCTTTACTGTTTTGCTGATATTCATTGCAAATTGAGCTGATTTTGAATTGTCCTGGTTCAGAATCAGCCACTGGAACTGCGTAACAGAAAGTGATAAATGTTGTATGCAAGTTCACTATCATAATTGAGTTATCTATTGTCTCAGTTTCCATTTATTTGCACTGGTTTGCTGTAATCCATGGGAAAAGCATAATGGAGTAATTTTTATCTAATAGTAATCAGATAAGATGGTGGGGGCATATTTGTCGATTGGGATTGCATGTGATGTACCACTTAATCGTATTTAACCCTACTATAGTGATGTGACTAGGAAATGGGGATTCACCATAAAGGCACGTCCATTTCTGTCTACAGAAATTGGATGGCCTCCTAATCGGCTCTTAATAATTATAAAAAAAGCAGCCGTACCAGATGGCCTTGTGGGCCTTGTGGTTGTGGCATGCAAATATGCAATATACTCCATAGACCTCATATCTAAACTAATTTATTGTAGTAGAAAGTCAGAACTTGCTATCGAGACATAGGAAAAAGTCTATTCCACCTCACAGAATTGTCGTCATAGCCTGATTTTACTTCTCAAACTTCAAAACCAGACATTTTATCCAGTACCACTAAACTTTCAAAATCATTCAAATTATCTCAGTCTTGGAGCGACTTACATTTTCTATTGTTTAAAAACCTTATCAAATACTTATAGTTTTTAAATAAAAAGGACAAAACCACCTTCAACCACTCCAAAACTAAGGCAAGGAGATAATTTGAACGGTTTTAAGAGTTCAGGAGATAAGATGTTTAGTTTTAAAATTCAAAGAGAAAATCGGACTACAACGACATTTTAGGAAGGTACAATAAACTTTTTTTTGAAAGGTCACCGGGGATGAACTATCCCCACCTGAATTTTCATTCCACAGATGCGGGGCAAGCCGAGAGGTGGAAGGGCGTGGCGCCAAACCAGATACAATAAGTCCATAGAAGTATAAGGGGGGACAGAGAGATTACAACAACAACACCAACACTTAACAGAACCAACAAGAAGAACCAACACGAGGACTCAAGGAGAAGCCTAGACTCAAGCCGAAGGATGCCAACCGATCGTCCATCTGCGCCACCGCCAAACGGCATACTCGCCGGTTACGCCGTGACCATTGTGCCCTGCACCACTCCTCATTGAAAGGTCCTAATATAGCTAGAGGGGGTGAATAGCCTATTTAAAATCTACAAGATCACTAGAGCAATTGATTAGTATGACAAAAGGCGTAATGCAATTTTGCTCTAGCTCTACAAGGGTTGCAAACCACATATTCTAACAATTCTAGTTGCTATAATCACTATCACACACAAAAGCTAAGTCACTACTCACTAAGCTAATGTGCTCTCACGGACTAATTAAAGAGCCACACTAACCAAACTAACAAGCTCTCAAAGACTAGCTACACTAAAGAGCTTGACAACTAGTTTGTATGAATATAAAGGAGTGAGTATGGTGATTATACCGCCGTGTCGAGGAATTAAACCAATCACAATGTAGTCAATCCAATCATCGGGAGAAATCCAATCACACAAGAGGCAAAAGAATTTTCTTCCGAGGTTCACGTGCTTAGCCGGTACGCTTAGTCCTCGTTGTGTCGACCTACATTTGGTGGTTCGATGGCTAAAAGGTGTTGCACGAACCTCGTCCACACAATTGGACACCGCAAGAACATACCCACAAGTGAGGTAACTCAATGACACGAGCAATTTACTAGAGCTACCTTGCGTCTCTTTGCCGGGAAGGTGCAAGACCTCTCACAGTCACCGGAGCCGGCCACAAACAATCACCAACATGTGCCAAAGCTCCTCCACTACCCCAAGCCGTCTAGGTGGCAACAACCATCAAGAGAAACAAGGAATCCGCAGCCACAACGATCCCCAAGAGCCACCAGATGCAATCACTCAAGCAAATACACTTGGAATCACTCCCAATCCTACTATAATGATGAATCAATGATAGAGATGAGTGGAAGGTGTTTTCTTAGGCTCACAAGGATGTCAAGTATGTCAAAGTGCCAAGAGAGTCAGCCCCAAGCCGGTACCTTCCTATTTATAGATGGCCTCACGAAATAGAGTCGTTGGCTCTGCCACGGGCTGACTGGATGCTGTGACCGAACGCTACCCTACGTCCGATCGGGTGAGTCCGGTCACTCGATGACTGCCACGTGTCCCACGTTTGAACTAGAGCCGCCCGATCTCAACGGTCAAAACTTGATCGCTCGCGTAGTTAAAGATTGACTAGACACGCTGCTCACGCCACCTGACGCGCCACCGAGCCGAGTCAGGTCAATTCCAGAGATGATCCAGAGCGCATAAAACGTGACCGGACGCGTTAGGTCCAAGGTGACCTGACGCGCCCCCGTGTTGGGTCCACTCAGCGTTCTTCTTCGCATGCAAGCGAGCTGATGCTAGCGTACGTCAGCACTTGACCTGACGCGCCCCCTGTGCTTATGGTCGCAAGAACCCGCCAGCGTTCGATCGTGATCCTGAGCCACACCCTCTCTGCTGCGTGTGACCGGACGCACCGCGTGCGTCAGGTCCAGCGTCTGATCACTTCCAGGCGCTCTCGCCCAACACAATGCCTCTTTGCTATAATTGACCGAATGCGCCAGTGAGTCCGGTCACCCCGACGCCAGCGTCCGGTCGTGGACTTTCTCCTCCTTTTCTTTTTTAAGTCCACAACCACTTCGCCCTTGCTTCCAAGTTGGTAACCATAAAGTGTAGAACTTGTGTGCTCGTGTGCTAGCATTTTCCAAGCATTTTTCATGGGTTAATTGTTAGCACACTAGGTTCCTAAATGCATATGCAAAAATCATGTCACCTAGTTTTCACTCGATAAACCGTTTAGTCAAAGATTTTCCTCTTTATAGTACGGCTATCGATACTAAATGCACTTACACCCTCTATGGTGTCTTAAGTGCCAAAACAAAAATGTATCTTATACATTTGCCTCTCCTTGGTTTTTGTTTTTCTCTTTCTTCTTTTCTAAATGTGAAGCACTTAATCATCTTTTGGTCATCATCATCCTCTTTCTCCACCACTTGGCATGGGGCAATCCTTTCATGTCTACATACTTAGTACAATGATTAGTCCCTAGGTTTCATCAATTTTCTAAAACTAAACTAGGGCTTTCACTCGTAGCTACGCCGCTCCGCTGCCGCCCTCCATCTAAGGACCAGCAGTGGAATGGGAACTAAGAGTGGTGACAGACACGCAAGCCCAAGATCACCGGACACGGCGACCTCCCTTGAAGTTGATGGTGACACCTACAGCACTTCCGAACCCACGTACCATCATTCAACGCCGTCCATGGGGAGAAAACCATGGAGGGGAATGGCGGCAACAGTGAAAACACCACCCGACATTTGATTTTCTGGCACCATCAAGGAGAGCGCCGACGGAGTAAAGGCACCAGAGGAGAACACTCGTCGAACAATCGGCAACAACCGACAGTCAGGGCTAGTCTCACCCAAGAGGAGAACAAGGAGCCAAGAGAGTATTTTCCTCTCACGAGGACCCATCCGACAGTCAGGACTAGTCAGGCCTGTTCGCTTGAATCTACGGTGTTTTCCTCGAACAAAGAAACAGCTTCAGAGCCTCAGTTAGCCCTCCACGGTGGTGCCTCCAAGCGGTCGCCTGCAGCCAGCGCCCGGCGGGTAGGAGCCGCCTCAGGGATGCGGCCACCACACTGACTGACGCCAGGTGAACGGCCAACAGGCTAGCTCCGCGGCTGCACCAAATCAGCGCCGCTGAAGAGGAAGCCAGCCACCGCCTCACGTGCAGCGTGAAGTAGAGGCTGAGGCCCAGGTCACGAGCGGACGTGCCGGCACCAGCACGACCCGGCCGAGGGCCAGAGCCACGGCCTCGGGCCCCCGTGCCACGTCCGTGCCAGCCAGCACCAGCAACCACGGGCAGCGACCGCGCTCGCCGTGTCGGTCGAAGGCCAGGATCGCCACCACCGTGCCAAACGCCAGGATAGGGGGCAGCACCACCGGATCCAGCCCTAGAGCGCCCGGATCCACGCCGCCAGCAGCCCCACCCGCCGGATTTCGCCGAGCCCTTCCCGGAGCCCGAAGCGACGGATCTCGTCGCGCAGCTAGCGGGAGCCTGCTTGACGGCGCGCCGCCCGGCCGCCTCAGATCCGAGGCGGTGGGTGCCGGATCCGCACTCGGAAGCCATGGATTCGCCCGGCCCGGTGCTGGTCATCTTCCTTGTTGCCGGTCGACCTTCTCTCCGAAAAGCAGAGTTTGAAATGAGGAAGGGGAGGGGAGGGGTTGGGAAAGTTGCTGCAGGGGAAGCTTTGTTGGGCTCCGCCGCGGGCCGTCGCCACCGCTAGCCGGAGCAACGGCGGCGGCGGCCGGAGATGGCCTGGGGCGTGGTGCTTCGGGCGGCGCGGGCGTGTGCCACATTGCAGTGAAGACTGTGCGCCACATTGCACATTGCAGTGACTGACGACACAATCGTGCGTTACTGGGTGTTTGTTTCTACTTCTCAATTTTAGTCGTTATCTATTTCACGTATGACTATTTACAAAATTAAATACATAGATTAAGACTATTTTATAAGATGAATTTTTTAAAGTTAATTAATTTATAATTTAACAATATAATGCTATAGTAAACATATGTTAACGATGAATTAATTAATTTTAATAAATTCGTTCCACAGATATTTATCTTTTTATTAGTATCCAACAGCATATACGATGTCCACACGTGAGACCTCCTAAGCTTTACTCTTGCATCCAAAGTTCGAACGCAGTACTGTTGTACTAGACTCGTTTTTCAACCATAAAAGTATGAGAAGCTCACGCTGGAAACGTGATGTACTGATATGACGCCTGCCAAGTGACAAGTGCGCCAATCCAAACAGGAACAGATTTATATAAAAAAAAAATTGTCATGCGTTGGTGCTCAAGTCGCGCAAGTACCGTCCACAGCATTACAACAGTACATGTGTTGTGCTCAAGTTTGAGTAGTTATTATTAGTTTATTTAAAGTTTTTTTTTGACAAGTTTATTTAAAGTTTGAGCATCTTAAAATGAGCAACGATCCATACGCTGCTTACAGACAGAACTGAGGTTTTATCTGGGCGTCCACAGCAATACATGTTGTGCTCAAGTTGGAGTTGTTACTGCTCGTTCGGTTCCAATTCTACATGTGTAGCTTTTGCTATATACTTATGTATATAATATTATATCTAGATATATAATGAAAATAATGTATTTAAAAAAGTAACAATTTATAATTTAGAATATAAGTAGTAGTTTATAAAGTTCCACTAAGTTTGAGTGCCGTAAAATGAGCAACGAACCATACACTACTTACAGACACAACTAGATTTTAGCTGGAGTGCATTCAACTTGTCAGAACCTTCAGCCCAACTAGTTTATGCTGTTCAATGATTGACATTCCAGCGGAAAAGCATAATTTAAAGAGAGGGCACTTTAAATAATAGAATGGAAATCGATAGTCCATAACTATCATTAACTCATTGCCAGATATCCCCCATATTGTAATGAACATAGATAAACATATCTCTCTATCAAAAGGGGAATAGCTCTGAAGAAAGTTAAATGGAAGGTTCCATCAAGGCATGCAAGCTACGTACAAACGAAGGCTGCAAGCTACAGACGACAGAAACACTAACCCGTGAAAATATCAGAAAATGCATAAATAAGAAGGCATGGTCAATGAATGGTGCACCGTGACAGGGATTTGATGCATAAATAAAACACATAAATTTCCTTGGTCGCGTGAACTTATCGGCACTACTTTTCAGACATGAAACATTGTTTTTTTCTCACGATAAATCAACGTCAGCAGCCCCATTTTTTTAAAGCAGAGCCAAAGGAGGTGACCATTGTGCGGTTGTTTTACAGGTTATCAGCATGTGGGTCGAATAATAAAACGAGAAAAAGGAAGATTGCAAGAACCTGACTGATTGAGCATTATTACCATTATATGGAAGCTCGATTAGCTCCGAGCCGCCGACAAGCATCGTCTGAGCTGTTTGACAAATGACAATCGGCCTATCCCAATTGTAATGAACATTTAAAGAAAGTTAAATGGAAGGTTCCACAAGATGGGATTTGAATGGTGCACAAAAAAATCTAAAGCTCACGATCGTTTTTTCGATAGCCGAACAAACAGGCTGAATGGTGTTTTAATCCACAAATGTCATCACTAAAGCTCACCTTGGAATCAATTCACTGCGCCTGTAGGCCTGTCCTGTCTGGAAGCTGTCTCTGTTTTCAGTTCTGAACAGCCATACCACCTAAAGAACTCGGCAAATGGCGCCATGTCCATCAATTTTTTTTCACAGGTCAACACTCCAGCTCCAGCGACGACGCCGGCCGTCCGAGCTTCGGTACGGCCGTCGCGCGGCGACAATTGCAAACCATTGTATTAGCTAACCACAGTACCCCTGAACAACATATGGCTGATGCTGATCGGGAATTTTCAGTTTCCACGGAGGACCGCAACGACGAAGGCGATCAAAGCTGTCTGCTTTGGAAATTGGAACGAGCGTCTGGGAACGCTGTACAGCGGGCGTACCAGCGGTGTCCTACGGTTGCACCCAACTTCTGTTTACTTTGGCGCGCCGGCTCGCAAGCTTTTTCCGAGCTCCGAGCATCTCACCCCACGCCAGCTAATTAAACCCGGCCGGCTGGCGGCTGTGTATATATTATCGGCGCGCAACAACAGCGTCGGCCACGTATATGTACATACCCAGGCACTCACCCAGCTGCTGCGAAAACAAGTCCAGAAAATTCAGCAGCCTACGCCGATTCGCCTGTGCTGTACAGCGTGAGCTGCGAGATGGCTGCGGAGGGACCGAAGAAGGCGGAGGTGGAGGCGGCGCCGGCTGTGGAGACGGCGGCAAAGGCCGTGGCAGAGGAGGAGGCCGTCGTCCCCGCGCCCGGGCCGCCGGCCGGTGACTCCAAGGCCCTCGTCGTCGTTGACAGTGAGTAGTACAAGTACTCCGTCCTTTCACCCTGTCCTGAACTTTTATGTTGCTGGTAGAGTCTAGTAGCAGCAGCAGAGACATGCGAGTTTCCGTTTCGTCGCACAAGGCACATGCAGTTTTCCTCCGTGAATTTCCAGAGCGCGCTGTCAGTTTGTGGCATGGATTGTGCAATAGTGTCGAAATAAGGTTGTCCTTATCTAATCTCGTCGAACCCATGCGTTTAATAAAGTTTGGTCTCCGAAAGCACTGTTTCAACGGTACTTTTCGGTAAATCAACGATATTTTTCTCGGGGTTCAGCAATTGTTGGCAACTCGGCATAACCGAACTGACCAGAATCTTCACGTGCGCGTAACGTATCAGAAACTGATTTCCGCCAGAAATCTGCATGCCTGCTTGTGATTTGTGAACAATCATCCTGCCAATTTTCGTAGCATCCGATCCCATTCCAAGTATAACATTGGCCCATCCCTTGCCAGCTACTCTATGAGATACGGAGTAGATTGACAAGTTCATTACTAAATGTTTTGTATGAACTACGATGGTGTTTGGAGGCTATCGAATGCAGGGTTGCAGGCCAAAAGAATCAAGAATACCATTTTTAATTTGTAGCAGTTTTGTCTCAGAGTGCCTTAGTTCGATGCCAATTAGGAAGGTCAAAGTTAATGGTCAGGCGAAATCGAAGGAAGAAGACTCAAGCAGGAACGACTGCATATGCTTGGGATATGCAATCCTAACTGCAGGAAGCCTATGCTGAAAACAGCAAGGATTGCACACTGAGCGTGGTATATATCGAATACAGAGATCGGGTGGCGATGGACGCAAAGTTGTCTCCTCGATACATATGACAATACTGGATTGCAATCCTAAGTACCAAGTATACTTTAACATCTCTCCGCAGTCATAGTTGGACCATCGAAGACGGTTAGATTGAAGAAAAGCTGAAGACTAACATCCCCCACACTCATAGTGACATCACAATGCAAATGCTTTTTTCCTCAAACAGGCCCATTGTAGCCCGTTTTTCATTAAGCGAAGCCGGAACAACAACGGTATGCTGTCGTTGCATTGGCCACCGGTCAGTGGTCCGCAAACCACAAGTGTACCGTGCACTAAAGATCACAATGCATATGCTACGACGGGAGTAGAAACCTACGGGTAGCTCATACAGACGATAGCCCCTTTTGCCACTGAAGCAGTCAAGGCTGAGGTGGAGGACCCTGTTCGCTTGAACTTATCAAATGTTTTTCTCTCACAACAAAACAGCCTAAATCTTCCCACATGGGTGCTACCCTCAATTGAAATCAATCTCCCCAGAGGCAACACAGCGGTGGTAGTGGAAGCCTTATTAGCCGAGGAGCGAAATTCTAAAACCACAAAAGTATGAATGATTGTGTATAATGCATGTGATGGATTGTATTAAGCCTCTCGGACGCTATATATAGAGCATATAGACTTGAATGTGGTGGGGACTGGGGGAAGATGCCTACTGTGATACATATGGAAATACCGGATTACAATGCCAACTACCAAATATACTCTAACACATGCAATTAGTAGAATGTATCGAGTATCTAACAATTTTAAACTATGTATAATCTATCTCAACACACTCAAAAAAAAGGTGCATGAAGTTAAGATGTACATGATTCCTTGAATACTACTATTGCATGTCTTCGATGGGGGAAATGTTTAATTAAGTCATTTATGCTAAACTCTGAATAAGTTCCATACATTTTGTGCTTCCCAGAGGTGGCTGATAAACCTTGTGTTGTGAATAATACGCCAAGGAACTCAAATGACAGAGGTAATTAATTGATCCTTTTTTTTCTTCCTACTGCATATAGTATAATCATGAGAATTGACTAATTAAAGTAACCTATGTTTAGACATTGCTCTTGCAAAGGTAGAAATAGAGAAGAGGAACTCTTTGATTAAAGCATGGGAAGAGAATGAGAAGGCAAAAGCAGACAACAAGTATGTTGCCAAGTTGTATTCTCCAGTTTCTCACATAGCTAGTCAATTTTGTGCTAGATGGCAATTATCAGTTGTCATGAGCAACATTTTCTTCTTCGGTTATTTTTGTGAGCAAAACTATTCTCCAAACATCTAAATACATAAACATTCTAAGAAAATTCTACTGTATTTTTTTAATTAATGTACCTAAACCCTCGACCTTTCAGACTCAGTGGTACAACATGTTTAAGCCAACAACTAGGTATTGAGAAAAAAAACATGCTAGCAAGCAGGAGCACGAATGTATGACGACCATGACATTATGTTGTTGCATGATTTCATTAGAAAGTGTGTGTATCTAGTAAGAAAATAAATCACAAAACCGTGACTAATCAACTAACTAATCCCTATGTCACAGGGTTGCTAAGAAACAATCTATTATTCTTTCATGGGAGAACACAAAGAAGGCAGTCATAGAAGCTCAGTTGAAAAAGAAGGAAGTAAGTTTGATATTTTCGTTTATCTTGTTATACGTTGATTTAAAGGATGATGATTCTATCCTATTTAGAACTCCGTCTGATTACAACTCTAAGTCATTTAGAACAGCAAAGTATTCCGTATGATGAATCATAAACCACATGTTCCAAAGCATGACATTTTATTGCAAAGTATACTATCATAAATATGATACTTTTACCTACATTTATTGCAAAGTATACTATTATAAATACAAAAATACTATATATTATCAAAGTATCATCAACCTGTGTTGTTAATCTGTGTAACTTAAACTTTTCTTATATTGATGGATCACATTAAAGAAGTTTGACAGACTATAATTCTAAAACAATCACAATCAGCAGGAGTACTACAGATTAGCGGTAAGGTCTTGAAAAATGTTTTTTTTTTACATAATGGTTTATTTTTTAGTATTGATGTCTAGTTGCTTTTGAGAAAATAAATATATTGATGTTAATGTAATAGGTAGATCATAATATATGGCATGTGAATATGCGATCACTTTTTAAATGAAAAGAAAAATATCTAACCTCTTGGGGCTAATGTTCAGGAACAACTGGAGAAGAAAAAGGCTGAATATGCTGAGAAGATGAAAAACAAAAAGGCAGTCATCCATAGGCAGGCTGAGGAAAAGAGAGCGATGGTTATGGCCCAGCGTGGTGAAGAAGTTCTCAAAGCCGAGGAGATGGCAGCTAAGTACCGTGCCAAAGGGGTAGCCCCAAAGAAATTTCTTGGATGCTTTGGAGCATAAGGAAGGCTTGAATTTTATGCTTTCTCATTTGTGCACTGAAATGCCATGGTGCAACTTTATCAGCTTGTGTAATTGTTACCCTTGTTAATTGTTTGTACAGTCTACTATTCATGGTGCACAAATGATATTGTTGGTGCATAGTTAGACTGTCGTCGATCAAAATGACAAGCATAGAAGAGTGAATGTAATACTTCAAAATTTTCTCTAATGACAAGGCATATGTTTGTAAAATCTATTATTCGATGTAATTCACCTTTTTCCAAATCTTTTTGACATAGAAACAAAAAAACAATGTATAAAAAGGAAACTTGGTCACACTATGTTGGGCTAAGTGCTTAAGCTAGATTCTTGACAGGCCGCACCGTTACCAGCTGCTGTCCTGTCCTGTACCACACTACCACCTGATGATCGACTGCGAAGCCCAAGCCGCACTGGGTTTAGGCCGGGCCCAGAGACTTTCATACAGTACTGGAGCCTTGTTGGCACCAATGGGTTTGCTCGCGTAGGTCGGCCCAGGCGTTGGTGCATTTCAAGACGACATTGGCGGGATTTATTGGACCCAGCCCCTACGGAATGCAGCCCTTCCAGGCTTTCCAGCCGTGTTGGTGGAACTGAATTGACGCCTGGGGCATGCTCGACTCAGTAAGAAATTTTTACTCGGAGGAATAGCTGGAGAGCCCGCTGATAGTTTATAAGTTTATAAGCTATATAAGTAAAGTGGTTAGACAATAATAGGAGAGTTAAAAATCAGACAATAAGCTAGATTGTTTCGATTAGCTAAATCTTTTAGCAGTTTTCTACAAGCTCTAGTTAATTCGATCAAGCCCAAAGCCAGGGCACACCTAAGGTGCCTTTGGATCAAAATAGCTCTAGTTATCTCTCTATACATTTTACTACCTTATGTCTGTCAAAGTTACACAAGTTTGTCTCAGTACAAAACCAAAACAACTTACAATTTAACACGGAGGGAAGTAATGTCATCAAAATTATTATACTATAAAGATTATATTGTCCCCAATGCATCTAAAACCCTATTTGGCATGGCTTCAAACAACTTCGTCTATTTCTATGCCTGCACCACTCATGCTAGAAGCACTTTTCTCTCCCCCTCAAATGTACTAGGAGTCGTGTTCACCGGCCCTAGCTTTTCGCGACACTATAGCGAGAAATTGGAGCCACTTAAAGTCCTGTCAAAGAAGACCTAAGATCTTTGAAATATTGTAAACTGGATAAATTAATTCAAACAACAGTGCATTGAGGCATTCAGCTGATACAGGCATACCCTACGAAAGCAGTGCTGCCGAACAGACGGATGCCAATTCTGATCTGAAGCAGATAATTTGGAGGAAAAGACAAGGAAACGAAAGATTCTTCTTTCCTGAAACATATATCTGTTTTATTCGTAAAACTTCTCTAGTATACTGTAGTTTGCACTTTGCAATACTGCAAGTCTGCAGCGTGTAGCATCACAGTGATGTGTGCAGTGAAACTGTAGTTCGATCTGGAGTGTTCATTGGTGGAAAACCAGGGTTTCCAGCAGGTGAGACACGGAGGGCCTTTGCCCAGCCGGGTGCCCTGGGTGAAGGTATGGAAGATGGTAGGTGGGTTCAGACTCAATTAGAGTTTTATAAATGTATTAACCAACCTTTTTCTTTATAGGATTTGTACCACCTTTTATAGGGTATTGTTTGCTATTACGCCGTATTACAACTCTACTCTGCAACGGTCGTGGTACATTCCCGGTATATCCCCGTGCCAATACAAGCCGCCCGGGGTAGTTTGGTTATTCTCTTCTTCAACAGCCTTTGCTTACTAGGCCGCTACCGTGAGCCCATCTGCGGCCCACGGCCCAGCACCGCTGCCTTGCGGGAGCTCCCCCGGCTCCTAGAACCTCCGTCCGAGGTGTGCCTTCGCCAGGACCTTCGCACCGACGCTTGGGCCGTAGCCTCCCCTGTATCGCCAGAGCCTTTGCCTTCGGCTACATTCGTGCGCCTTCGCCGTAGCTTCCGGACCTTCGCCTAGGGCGGCCGATTGGGCGGAGGTTCCCTTCTTTTTTTCTGCACAATGCTCACAAAACTTTGTTAATCATTAGTTCTTAGCGCCACTGCGAGCCTTGGAGCCTCCGCGACTCGTAACCGTGTCCCAACAGTTCCCCCCTTGAGGGCATGGTCAGATGCTGACGGGCCTTGTCCACAAAGTCTGGTTCTTAGGTTCTAAGGCGTGGAGGCTCTTACACATGCGGAGGCTTGGCTGGTGGCGAAGGTTACATTTCCTTCTTTGTTTTCTGATTCTGCTCTATCTCCGTCTTATCCAAGATTTTTTATTTCTAGTTGCAGTTCCAGGGGCTTCCAATAGCACGATAAGTGGGTGGGCGAATGTCCTTGAGGCTATTTACAATGATATACTTGCTTTTGGTCTTACGTTTCTTACGGTTGATTTGCTACCAGGTCCACCTCCACCACCACCTGAAGAGTGTTGATTACTTCAAGCTGTTGTGATGAACTTGGAGCAACAATGCATGGTATGTTTCATTTTTTCCTCTTGTTCTTCTCTTTTTTTTGCCTCTGCCCACACTGACTTGGAGAATCTTCGCAAGGAGGTCGAGTACCTGAACAAGAGGGTGGAGGGTGCGAAGGCTGCCGAGCAATTGGCTGTCGAACATGCACTAAAGGCTATAGAGACGGCCGATAACCTTTGCAAAGAGGTGGACGCCGAGAGGGAGTCCATCATTGCGTTGAAGGCGCAGGTGGACATGCTGACTAAGCGCCTGGAGGATGCCAAAGCCGTTGGCCTAGCCACAACTGAGCTTTATGTGGGTGCCCTCGAACAATTCGGGGGCTCCACGTCTTCACTACCTTATGATCCTTTGGCGTTCAACATCTTCTCCTGGATGAAGGCCAACTTCCTCAAGCTTCCTGATTTTGTTGGCGGGGCTATCGACTTTGGAGCGCTGGCTTCTGCCACCAATTTCTCCAAGATGCTGACATAGGATGGCTGCTCACACGTCGAAGGCATGAAGGAGAAAGATCTTGATGGCCCGACCGATCTTGAAGTGACTTCCCGTGGTGTTAGAAGATCCGTTCGTAACTTTTTGAAGTCATTCTGGGTAAAGTTTGGCCGGGCGGAGGCTCGTTCGATGGCGGAGGCATGGCATGCTACGGTTGGTTATTTCTTTTCTTCTGCTTTTGTGGCTTGCTGTTCTTTCTTTAGGTTGTACGTCCTTTGTTTGTTGTGTTTATAAGCTTTGTGTTGTTTTGCAAGAGTTGCAGAAGGCGGAGGTTGCGCGTGGTACTGCTAGGGCGTAGTCTTCCTTGGCTACAGAGGCGATGACTTTGAAGGCTCCCTCTGGTACTGCTGAAGTCCAGGGAACCTACGCCTACCCCAGCTGATCCAGAGGTGTAGTGTTTTAGGTTTTTTAGCTGTTAGCTATACATGCTAGGATGGATGTATTGGGGACAATGGTCCTCCATGTATATTGTAGATTTTGCTGTCTTGTTAGCACCTTCGCCTGGTGGATGTTTAATTGTAAAACTTGTCCTACGCAGGTTTCCTCTTCTAGGCCTGTGCAGGACGTGCTTTCTTTAACTTTGTACCAAGATGGTGTTTATGTTAGTGGTGACCTGTGGGGGTATTGGCGTGTGACTTTTCCAAGTCATTCTGTTTGTTACATGTGGGCCTTCGTGGTGAATGATATAGATGACGATCGTGCTGAGTTCACTAGGTCGCTTGCTTGGCGAGGGACTCGACCTCCGACTTAGTATTAGATTTATGTCGATTTATTTAACTGGCCTTCGCGCCCTTGTAGATGTTTGGAAGGCTTAACACCTTTTGTGCTTTTGTTGTGTTATTGCCTTTGGGGCTTTGTATCATTGCGCTTCTAAAGCGCTGTTGTTGTAATCATATCCACTTTTCTTCAAATAAATTTTTCTTGAAATGCTTAGTTGCGCACTTGTTTTATTGAAGATTCTAGTTACAGTTGCTACCTAGGCCAAAGGGCTCTAGCAGATGGCGCTTATTTTCTTGCTCTTGCCTCCGCTTCTCTCTTCTCTGGTTGATGTTGAGGATGAGCTTGTGCGTCTGTGCGGAGAAGCTGAGGCGCTAGTCTTTGACCTTGTGTCCTGCGCTGAGGCTCCGTTACATACTTGATTTGTTGTAGCCTCCGCATTTTGATCTTGCAGTTGTTGCGAAGGCTTTGGTACAATTTGAGCACTCATCGGAGGTGTTGGTCTTCAATCTTGATGCTTCTCCAGAGGCCACAACGCAATTTGAGCAAGCAACGGAGGTTGATGAAGCTTTTCATGGGCGTTGTCTTCGCTTGTGTCTAGATTGCTTTGTTGTTGCCTCTGGCCATGCTGGAGCAGTTGCGCTTCTGTTGAACATGGTTGATGCCGGGTTGCGCCAGATGGTGTCTTCGGTTGCGGGGGGATGTTACGAGTCTTCGTGCGATACCCTCTCGCAACCTCTGACATTGACTGCTTGCTACTGGACTGTGGTCATACAACGCCCCATGGAGGCTGTATGACACCATGTGGAAGATGTGTACAACCTCAATGTGGCCTTCGCTGGCTGCGTGAGTTGCTGTATTTATGAGTCTTCGCACGGTATCTTTTGTTCTCTTGTTTTTAAGGAAACTCTGGCTTCCATGGTTCTCTTGCTTTGTTCTATAGTGCATTGGCTCTTGGTTGGCTTGACCTCCCCCCTAGCGCTCTTCTAAAGTTAGGGATATGATAATGCGCTGACTAAAGCTAGTGCTAGGAGAGGGCGCTGGGTTTTATAGTCTACTACTTGTACGATTTATTAAATCTTGGTGGTTGGCCGAGGCTTATTACTTAAATACGTTTTGAAGTTGTAATAGGACTGACAGATTTCTTTGTACCTACCATATCTTTGGCTCTTTATTCCTGTTGTACCTTAGTTATTAATTCCTGATATTCACCGGGTGCCTGATAGAGACAGGTCTTCGCCAGGTATTTTCTTGCCCGATGCCTACAACGAAAGTA